CCGGCTTGGGGGGCAAATGAATACAAAGGTTTTGCGGGGGAGAATTTACAACTTTTCCCCTACGATCTTAGCATTGGGTTCCGCTCCACTACTGTAGACTCAAGAGAAATTTCTAGAGTAGATCTAGAGTTGTCAGTGTCTAGAGTAGCGCGAATTTAGTGTGATCGCTCCACTCACTCGAGACGACTGTACTCAAGAACAAAAATATTTCCGATCTAGAGTACTACGACAACACCGCAGACTCTGGTCGGCCCAGACACCCGACGCAGTCACGGAATTCTAGGCCACGGCAAGAGAACCACTGACCACTCTTGAGATAACGGCCGCTGCAGGCGGGCACCCTAGATCGGTTCGGAGTGCGCAGTCGCGGGTGCCCCTGACAACTTAGAACGCGATTTGACGGGGCTCCGTTCTTGAGTAAGGGCATACTCACATGGGGACCAAATGAACCAAAATCCCAAAATCTGAGGCATTTTTGTGGTCACACGGGGTTGGCCCTGTACCCAAATGCCTCAAATCTTGACCAAATGTCAGCGGCCTGCGAGGCCGCGGGGGTACCCTTTTTGAGACCACCTCCAGAGGTGGTCTCAAATGACCAAACGCTTTTTTCGTTTCCTTTCCTCAATTTGTAGAAAATCGTAGAAGAATAAGACAACCAGCCGAAGTTGTTTTTCTTTTCTTTCTTTTTTTTCTTTTTATTTTCTTTGGTGTCCCCTCGTGTGACCACACGACCTTGCCCTGAGTGCAAAGTGTCAGGGTTGCGACTTCGTCCTTTCTGGACGAAGTCCGCACGTGTGACCACACAGGGACCAAATGACCCAAATAACCGTACCTAGATGCCTCAAATTTTTGGTTCTTTTGGTCCCCGTGTGAGTATGCCCTAAGTGGAGCGACGTTTTACTCTAGACAATTTCTTGAGTAAATTCGATTTCTTCCACTCCGTCAGGAGGGTCAATCTGAGTGAATCTTTGACTATGCATGTCTGTTTCTGCAATGGCCAAATTTCATTCCTGAAGACTGAAGCATTCCTAGCTTTCCATATTGTTTCCAACAGTATCCCTCTGCACACTAGGGCCACATATCCCCATTTATCTGAAAATTGGGCTTTAGCTGGAGGGGTAGCGGACACAATCCACTCATCTGTCCATTCCCACTCTTGGCCCCCACCTTCCTCCCATTGTAGTTTCCACCACACCCACAGTTCGTCAACAAGAGGGCAGAGCAGCCATAGGTGCTGCATATCTTCCCACCCCCAATTACATCTCTTACAAGTAGTACTAAGATCCATCCCTCTCAGACTAAGCCATAGCGCAGATGGGATTACCTCCAACGATTGTGCCCACATGATCCCAGCCTGTTTCTGAGAGGGGATTCTTTTAAGCTCTCTCCACAATCTTCTGAAGTCCGAAAGTTGAGATCCATTCCCCTGTCTTGATTGAAATCTTCGTTCCGCCACCTGCAAGGGTTGTGGTTTCTTCTCACGAAGACATCTCACCCCAACTTTAGGCCTGTACCAGATCAAACGAGTCTTTTCCTTATTTGCTCCTTCCCACCCATAGAGCAGAGGTTCCACCCGGAATTCCTCCGCCTCATTATCCAGTAAGATCTTTTACTTGCTAGAGGACTCTCGTGGTTTCCAAACCCGCAATTCAGGCAGCTCTACTGTTGACTGTAGTTTTGTTGATGAGTCCAACCTAGTCCCTTCTTTCGTGTGCCCTTCTTTCCGCCACTGCTCCATCCTCATTCCCTGAGGGATGTCTGGCCCCAACACCATCAGTACGTATTGTGAGTTATCCGGGTGGGCCACCCATGTGCCATGCGCGTGTTCTGATTTCTCCTTTAGCAGTTCCCTCCAATGAGGGGGAAGTGCTGCCCTAAGCTCTGCATAGTGCTCCTCCAGCTTGTGCAGTCTAGGGAGTTTTCTCCTTAGGGCGTCAGGGGTTAGCCAATCCTGGCTCTGCGTTCCAAATGTGCTTAACCTGAAATACTCTTTTTTCTAGCCAAGATCGGGCGAAATTTCCGGTACTTTCTTGAGTCGCAAAAGGCATCCTCGATGGTCTCTTAATCAAAATGTTGTCAAAAAGGCCTTGGTTCAGGATTTCCAGCTTCGTGGCTGGTTCCTTTAAACTTCTTGGTCTCACCTTGCGCCAGGCCTTCAAAATCCCCTTCCAAATCCTTGAGCCAGACCTTCTTCCAGAGAATTCTGTTTGTAAAAGCACAGTCCACACATCGGTGTCTTCTCCCAGTCCCCAGTCATTCCGCAGTATGTACTCTGCCAGTGGTAACCACTGTTTAACCTCCTTACCACAACACACTTTTACCACCCATTTAGCCAACAGGCTAATGTTCTGATCTCTGGGGTCCAGAATGCTCAAGCCTCCCTTGTCCCTTGGTTGGCATACTAGATCCCATGCCACTTTATAAATAAAGCCTTGTTGATCTTTGGCATCTGGTTTCCATAAATACCGGGCTGCTTCTTTCTTAATATCGACATATGCTTCATCTCCCAAGTAGTGTATAGAGAGTAAAAACCAAAGAATAGAAAAGGCTGCGGACGTAAGAACCAAAGCCCGCCCAAACACAGACAACTTATGATTCCTTATCCAGCCCAAGATTCTTGTGTTGACTTTCTCCTTCAAGATCCTATCCTGTTGTCGCGAGCAGTTGGAGAGCGAGGCTTGTACCCCTAGCAGACGCTCTGAAGTTTCCAAGGGGACTTCTCTGAGGCCCCAGGATACACAGATTCTGAAAGAAGGGGGTGATAAATAGACCGATTTATCCCAGTTAATAGATGCCTCAGATAGTAAACAATACTCATTCAATATTACTCTCAATTCTGAAAAGGATTGCTGCATACTTTCGCAGGCGACTGTGAGGTCGTCCGCTATCGCTCCCCCCTTCCAATGAACGGAAGGGGGGAGATCCAACCCTCGGATACTCGGATTAAATCTAAGATTATCTAGCAAAACTTCAAGCTGTAACACAAACAAGAGCGGAGCCAGGGGGCATCCCTGACGTAGAGATCTCGTTAGTTTAAAATCATCAGACAATCTACCATTCACCAGGACTACCGAAGATGCTTCGGCGTACATGGCTTTCACGCTGTGCAAAAAGTGGGGGCCAAAGCCCATTTTCCTGAGTGTTGTGGCTACAAAGGACCATCCCACTTTATCGTAAGCTTTCTCCATAGCAAGGAGAAGGACGGCAATTTCTCTCTTTTCCCGTGCTAATCTCCAGGGCCTGCAGGGTTGTCATTATGTTGTCAAAAATAGAACGTCCTTTAACAAAGGCTCCTTGCTCGGGCCCGACCAAGTGGGGTAGAACTTCCGCCAACCTTATGGCTTGAGCCTTTGCTAAAATCTTATAGGCCACGTTCAGCACAGAGATTGACCTATAATTTCGAACTTCTGCTTTATTGCCTTTCTTATATAGGAGGGAAATGTACCCTTTTTGAAATCCCCTCGGGAGTGTTCCTCCCTCCCTTATATTATTGTAAATTTCCCACAAAAAGGGGCCGAAGGCTTCCCAGCACTCCACATACAACTCGACTGGGAGGCCATCCAAACCAGGGCACTTCCCTTTTGCCATCATATTGGCCGCTTTCTGCAGATCCCGTATTGTGAACGGCTCATCCAAGGCCCGTGCCATATTCTCCGAGACCCGGGCCCTAGTTCTGTCCCAAAAGGACGATCCACTAGACAGATCTGATTCCCAAGTATCAAAGGGTATTCTAGTGGAGACAATGTCACTAAAATAATCGTGGGCAAAGTTACACATTGTCGCCGTATCCTGTGTCATCGGAGAGTCTATTGCAAACTGGTGCGACAGCTCCCTAATTAGGGATTTCGATTGTCTGAGGATCAGTGATCTGAAAGAGATCTTGGTCATCCTATCGTATCCCAGGATCCCCCTGGCTTTTAACCAATCAAGCCATTCAGCTTGTTTTTTAACTTATTTTTTCTAATTCAATGATTGCCTTCTTCCTTCTCTCAGACCAATAAAAATCAGAGAATGGGTCCCCCACCATCCCCCTTTCTGCCTGGTCAATTTCCATCTGCAACTGTTTTTCTCTCCACGAGCGGGCCGCCGCCTTCATCCTCGAGAAACTCATCAGGGCATTTCTAATAATATTTATTCCTCCTTCCGCCCAATCATTGTGGTTTTCAAACAGGTCCTTGGCATTTTCCTAGCACTTCATTTGATTTATAACCCACGACTTAATGCCTTCATCCTGCAGAATGTTAACATTAAGTCGAAAGGGTGGTCTCTCTTTCTCCACTATATCCTCTGCTATCACATCCATGAGTACTGGGTAGTGGTCCGATAGGGATGCATATTGGACCTCAGACCAACAGCATCTATCGAGCCCCTCTGGCCAGAATTAGATCTAATCTACTTCTTGGGCCTCGGACTCTCTTAGAGGGCCGCGGGCCATACGACGTAAATCCATTCAGATCTGGGTTTAGAGTTCGGAACACATCATATAACGCCTGTGAGTTCATAAAATCAATTAACATATCTGCATCAGCTCTTACCGGGTGTGTGGACAGAGAATCTAATCCCGGAATCAACACCGTATTCCAATCGCCCAAAATGATTAGGTTCTCTGTATCCGGGACAAAGTTGGGGAGGTTTGCAAGGAAATCCACCCTCAGACTAAGTTCCACCGGGGCGTACACGGACAACACCGCCCATTCCTCATTTCCCTATTGAAATTTGATCCAGGCAATACGGCCATCAGAATCTGCAAAGGAGTCGAGTTCAATAATGTTCAGATTTTTGTCGATCAAAACTGCAACCCCTCCACAGGTTCCTTTCGCAGGGGACCACACCTGCGGGCCGTCCCACAATACCCCTGCTTCCCTGATTTTGTCATTACCTAGTTTTGTTTCTTGCAATCCTATTATTTGTACGTTCTTAGAGTGTATCCACTGGCGCAAAAGCGCTCTTTTGAACCTGTGGTTGGTGTCGCCTAAGCCACGTATGTTCCAGGATGCTATACGTAACTTAGGCGGACGGACCATCAGGTCTGCATCCGCCGTTCAATTGGATCCGGCTGTCTTCCGTCTGAGGTGGCATTGGCGGGCGGGTCCTAGCTGGCTGCTAAAGGTTCCCGTTTCGAATAAGCTTCAGCAGTCGTGAAGTATTCTCATCTGATAGCTTGTCCTGTAGGCAGGCATACCTTGCCCACTCTGCAATCACCGCCCCTTGCCTTCCTCCAGGCAAACTCAGAGGCGCCGACTGGTCTGTCTGGTCATTCAACAGCTGCTGCATGGGGAACCAGTGCACCCGCAGGTCACACCACTTGTCAAATGAGTCTGTAATCGATTTTAGTCCCAAAACAGCAAAGTAAAGGGCCACCGGTGCTCCTTTATCCATCAACGAAAGAAATCGTTGAGGTTTGAAGGTGGGAAGGGGTACCACCGATCCCGTGTGATGCAGAACATGACGCTTGGTTAATTCTGCCACCTCCTCGTCAGAGGGCGTTGAGTTAACCGGTATTGAAGGTATCTCCAAAACTTCGTTGTCGGTCAGCCTCGTAAGAACCAGTGTACCATTGGGCGGTACCTCCGAGAGGATCAGGGGGACTAAGAATTTTTTCACTGACCCCTTCGATCTGTCCGCCAAGGAAAGCGTTTTCATAGGACCCGCTTGGGATAATTCCTTGCGGTTCACTCTAAATCCATGGCAACGCTTTCGACTTACGGAGTCTTCTCTCAGAACTGGTTCCGGAGTAGCCTCTGTCAGTTCTTCACAATCGGTCTCCACACTTCTAGAATCATTCATTTTTGCTTTTTTTGACGGAGTCCTTCCGGACCGTACGTTATTAATTGTTGCCTTACGGTTAAGTCTCGTTGCTTTGCTCGGTGCCGGGGCAACTAACAGAGATAAAACAAAATCGTTACCTTCCCTCAACTGATCCTTCTCAAAATAGGCATTATCGTAAATTCTAAAACCATCATTGCCTTTTTGTGTTGACCCATCCTCGAGACTCCCGGGGGGCCCATTCTCCGTCAAAGCCTCCCTCTGAAGAGTGGATCCGCCACTAGAACCTTGCAAGGCCTCTCCCACTATCCCCAATATACCGTCCTCCTCCTCCGCATCGGTACCCTCCCCATTTCCTTCCTCCTGTTCGGAGTTGACAGATCCTTCCTCACTTCCTTCCCCTTCGCCATCGAGATCACCCTGATTTTCCATCTGTTCCATCGAATCTTCGTCCCCCAGGGGCGAAGGGCTCGTTTTCTTCTCGTTATTCTGCAACAGTTCTTCCTCTTCTAGGAGAAGTCCTTGTTCTGATTCCCTTTCCCCTTCCTCCTCTTCATCCCGTTCCCTTATCTCTCGATCCTCCATCCTTTTCTCCTCCTCATCATGATGTATCTCTTCTAAGATTTCTTCCATCGTGGATAACCCAACTTTCTTTTAGGTGTCTCCAGTATCACATCGTCAGGGTCTTCTGTTTTTTCTTCTCTTCTCTCATCCCTTGATGTGACCTCTTTTTCCTGCGGGTCTGCATCCCCGTCACTTTCTCCTTCCCCCATTTCGATATCCTCCTTGTCCCTATCCTTCTCCACCTCTCCTTTTCCTGCAACCTCCTCCCCTGCTGTCTTCTCCAGCTCCTCATTATCGTTCCCAACCTGTTGCAGATCTTCTCTCATCTCCACTTCCTTTTCCTGATCCCCCTGTCCCTTTTGACCCGAGTCTTCTGTTCCGGAGGGTTTCCCGTTTTTGACCACTTCTCGGAAGGATCTTTTCTCCTTCCACACAACAATCTCCTTTCCTTTACCCGCATGAGGGGCAGGGTTTGGGTCGTCCTTGTTGGACTTCTTCGGTTCCTCCCCATTTCCCCCTTTCTCTGGGGATGCACCAGAGCTCGATGCCTCCCCCTTACCCTTGTCTCTTGCTTCTTTCTGTTTCTCCTTCCCTCCCCCTTGGTGCTTACCCTTCGATTTCTCTCGCCCAGGATGCTCCTTTTGGCCCTGTTTCTTCTGATTTCTCTGATTTTTGTATCTCGGGTTCAGGTGGCAATCCTGGTCTCCTGCATAGTGGTAAAATCTTCTACAATCAGCACACCAGGGGGTATCTGCGTTTATGACCTCGATTTCTGCGAAGCCATACTCGGCCATGTCCACTATCAGCCAAGGTTTTATCCTCAGTCGTGCAGAGGGAACTAAGTCAAACCGCACGTTCTGCAGTTCAGGACACCCAGGTTCATCAAAAATCGGGTGTGTTTTGAGAATCGTTCCAAAGGCAGCCTCTACTGCTGTTTCTAATTGGGACAAAGCTGCAATCGGGACCAATAGACATCGGATCCAAAATAATTTTTAGCGCATAGCTTCTCGCCACTCATGAAGCTGGTTTTCATCCATCCATGGTTGGAAAGTAACCGAGTAGGTTTTTCCGTCCAGGGAGATCTTGTCTTGTCTTTTTCGGAGCATGAATGAGGCAACCTGTGCAGAAGCCGATACGTACGTGACCAGAATTCTACATTCATTATGGAACAAACCCCGTTTCGGCCCTGCGTTAATTTGAGGGTTATTCACCCACCCATCTTCATACATTCGAACTATCCGTTTCTTAACCTCCACTGGCAGCGAAGTAGTCTCATCCCCATACAGGATTGTGACTGCGTGTTCTTTTAACCAGTCGACTTGAACCTGCAGCAAGTCCGGGTTAATAACGACTTGACAAAATCTTTCCCTACTTCTACCGTGTTGTTAGCCAACCGCTTGGGAAGAATCCCATCGGCGTAGCAGGAGCTTAGAATGCTCCTTATCCTCTGTTTCTCCAAATCCGACATGGGAGGGGGAGCAGTAGAGGGGTGAGGAGGGGGTTCCGCCATTGGGACCCTTCCTTTACCAGATGGCCCTTCCAAGGCTATTCTATGAGTGCAATCGTCACATCCGAAAGACCCCAATCATCACAATCTAAAACACAGGCAAGATCTATACCAAATTAATTCAACAATAGTATATTTAACCTATAAATTATGAGGCATAATTAACTGGGATAAACAACAGTCACGTCTCACTAAGAAAACAGGAAGACTTCCCCCGTCATCAGACAGAGCATTATACCTTCCCCTCTTTCGAAGACTTCCAAACGCTCCATTGGAGTTGTAGTTCCCTTCCGTCAATAAGGACTTGCATCCAGTCTTCAGTACTGTTTAGTCAACCCCACCGACGGCCATATCTTGATGCACCGAATCACCGAATCACCAGGTCAACGCCAGGGTCGATATCATCCTTTCCTTCAGAGGTCCTAACTTCCGCCGACCAGGCTCTCCCTGCCCCCTGGTATTCCACAGGGGGAAACGCAGTAACAATATACCGCGCGGGAGATGGAGAAGGAGATGGGGCACCTCGGGATTTACGAGAACGATGCTCACCACTCCTCCCCACACCGGAGCCACTTCACCGCGTCACAAAACGTACGGACGAAACCCAAAAAAGTACCTCGGTTTTGCCTAACGCGGGTTAGCGCCAATTAGCGCAGAATAGCGCAAAAATTAGCGCAGGCCCGGTTCCCGGCAGCTCTTGAGTAAATTCTGACTACTCTAGAAGGAAAATTCGAGGTTCCTAGTCTAGAGTAGTGGAGCGGGACCCATTGCCGTTTTTTCTTGTGACAGTGAGCTCAGGGCCGCGCATAACAGTCAGTCCCTACGGCCTGCGAACTACTGGTACCTCTACCGGCGGCCAGCGAATCAGATCGCGTAGACGTCACCAAGTGCGTCACTCGCCCAGCAGTTTCCTCGATATTTGCTTTTGCTCTTTTTTTTTTTCTTTTTTTTTTTCGACAACTTTTCTCAAAAAACAAAAACAAAAAACAACCATGACAACTTTGACAGCGTGGGCGCTGGCCAACGTGGCGTCTTTCCGTGAGCCTTTTCGCGGCCACCCAGCGTGCTGAAGTCTTGCGGTATTGGGCCTTCCAACGTGTGGCCGCTGCCGATTGGCGAGGCAATGTGGTTGATTTGTGTGCGTGTCATCGTAACGAGGGGCCAAGCTCATCTTCTCTGCACTTCTGTGTTCTGTCTGCGAAGCACCGAAGGACGACCCCAGTTTCGTCATTGCCTCCAACAATTTGCTTCTCTGAATCGTGGGGTTCAGGGAAAAAAAAATAAAAATTGTGGGTGTCCTGGGATCGGGGCCCAAGGGGCCCAAGTTCCACTAGCGGCGTTGAGCTATCTCAACGCCTGCATGTGGACGCTTTGCGAAGATGTGCAGAATTGGTGTTGAGTTTCCCGAAACTGCACGTCTCCACAAACACGTCCAGATTCGGGCGTTGAGGTAGCTCACCGCTCTGCTAGTGGGACTTGGCCCCGGGCACGGGCTCCCACTCGTCGCGCCTTCCAATTCGGGACCGTAGAGTCTCAAGATCGATGAGCAGCACCGCACAACTGCGGGTAAGTGGGACCTCGTCCCGTCCCGATAGTTCAGTCCCATGCGCTCCTGTGGACATGTGCGACTTCCTTAGGCTTCCGGTAGGCGTGAACGGACGTACCTAAGGAATGCAGGTACTGATCTGGACGTCGACCAAGGCCATATTCGGTTTTCATTCCCCTTCATTCATAGGATGATTCCGTGTTTTTTTTTTTAACAGTCTACGCTCGGCCTGAGTCGCTGCCTTCTGCAGCCATTTAGTTAACAGGGCGGGACCGTGCCCCAGATCTCTCACACACACTACAAGCGTGTAGACGGACCTGGGGCCAGATTCCTCCGAAAGGAAAAAAAAGTTTACCCAGACACTTTATTATGGAATGGGCCTCGCTCCACTACCCTCCACATGCATGGGAGGCAGAAAATATGGCGGTGTATCTTTCCATGTTCCAGCAGAAGATTCATCCACATGTTAAACATTTTGTTACACATTTTGTGATGAGTAGCGGCGGACAGAGGCCCAATGTACAATGTATGTGTTCTGGGTTTAGGGTATGGTCCTGCTATTGCGAAATTGGAGTATATATGCGAGGGCGGGCGGATGCGAGAGGCAGCGAGGGTGACGCGTTGCGCGTGTAGTGTGATACGAGTTCCCTAGTGGGAGCGCGGGGGCGGGTGACGCGCGAGCCAGAGAGGGTGATGCTCTTCGCGTGCGCACCAATTCACGTGAATGAGCGCCTGCTCAAAATAGAATTATCGGCAATGTATTTGGCCAACTATCGTGGCCGAATTGACACAATCACATAGGCAAAAAGTGTCACCCACCCTGTTTTGCAAGGAGACCGCTCAGTCGTTCCTTAGATCGGTGGTTACCAGAAGTTTCCTGTCATGTACTGTTTATTTTGTCGTTTCCTTCGGTCGTCTGACGACGAGATTCCCACTGTCTCTCTCTATCTCCCTTCCTGCGAAACCACAAAGAAAGAGCTCTTGATGTTTTTTTTTTCTTTCGACTTGTTTTTACTTTTAACTAAAAAGAAATAGTGTTTTGGTGTTTTGGAAAAAAAAAAATATTGGGGCCAAGTCCCAGGGGCAGGGTCCGCTTTATTCATTCATTGATCTAGACGGTCGTCTGTGATTGGATAACGGTCCTCGCTACTACTACGATATGGAGGGGTCGTCGTCGTCGTTCTCTTCTCCGAGTTGTTGAGGATTTGATGTTCTTGCCAAACCAAATTCTGATTCTGTCCCCAAAAGTTCGCTTTCTTTGTCGGAAAAAAAAAGGGAAACGATTTGACTTGTATGAGGCTGAATAATTGAGCAAAAGAACAAGAGACGATTGCGCGCGGGAGACAAGTGGTTAGCGCAATGGCGGGAAGAGCGAAGGAGGGAAGAAGATGAACAGAGGATTGAGCGCGGGAGGGGTAATTGAGCGCGGGAAGAACGATGAACTGAAGATGGACTAGCACAAGGCGATCGGCGATGGGAGGAAGTGTTTTTTTGTTTTGTTTTTGTGCTTTCAAGAAATAGTAAATAAAAATAAACGAGAGGGGTGCAAGTAAAGAAAAGCGAAGGGAGAAAAAGAAAGCGAAAGGGGAACGAAAAAAGAGCGAAGGGCAAAGCAGTTATGTGGAAGACTTGTGTACTTTCCCCCGTGCGGCCCTTCAAGACTCTGTCTAATTGTATTGATGCGATGGGTACGAGTGTTACGTCTATCAGATCTAGTCCTGTTTGTAGTCGATTGATTGATTCTTCCGATTTGATTTCGAGCGTTTTGGATTAAGGAAGAGGCTGCGTGGCGCAGCGTCGGTGTTTCAGTCAGGAGAAACCTGCTTCCCGATCACACACACAGAGAGAGAGAGAGAGAGAGAGAGAGAGAGAGAGAGAGAGAGAGAGAGAGAGAGAGAGAGAGAGCTGCGCGACGCAGCGTCGGTGGCTCAGTCGGAAGAAACCTGCTGCGCACACAGAGAGAGAGAGAGAGAGAGAGAGAGAGAGAGAGAGAGAGAGAGAGAGAGAGAGAGAGAGAGAGAGAGAGAGAGAGAGATGGAGGTAGTTGGTGATGGGCGCAGACTGCGGGTTCGAAGGGGAAAAGGAGGGGAGGTATTGCTCCCATCTTCTTTGTGTTTATGGGGGTTGTTACTGGGCGCCTTGAGTCTCTTACTCTGGGGAGCAGAATGTGGCGCGTACTCTTACAGCTACGGCTATGGTGGTGGCGATGGCGGGGGCAGGCCGATAGATCTGAACCAAGTGAAGGCCTTAACCCTCCGTAAAGGAGAGTATACAGCTGGACGGCGTCTTCCAGGGGTGCCGCAGCTTCAGTGTGTGGGAGGGTGCGACTACGAGCCAGGTGCGTTGAACCCCTCTCTCTCTCTCTCTCTCTCTCTCTCTCTCTCTCTCTCTCTCTCTCTCTCTCTCTGTGTCTCGGTCTCATCTCCTCCTCTGTCCCATTCCGCGATCTGTCGTTTCGCTTTAGGTTCAATAGCGTAGATCTAGATAGATAGATAGATAGATAGATAGGTAGATAGATAGATGGGTAGATAAGACAAGACTGATACGAGAAGATAGATAGTTAACGTAAATAGATGAATGGATGGATTGGGAGGAGAGCTCGCTCGTTCGTTTCAATAATTACTAACCCCTTTAATCCGTCGTTAATTTTTTCATTGTTGTCTTTTCGCTTCACACATTGATAATCAATTTATGCTGTGGAAAAGAGATTTTTCCCCCTCTCTCTCTCTCTGTCTGCAACTCTCCCTTATTTTCTCTCTCGAGCCCTATGCCCTATGTCAATTTCCCCGTGTGTCTATCCGTCTCGCTGCCTCTCTCTCTCTCTCTTATTTCTCTCTCGCGCCTTGTCAGTTTCCCCGCATCTGGAGGAATTGTGTGCACGTGTTTGTGTGTGCGCGCGCGCGCGCGATCGGGATCGGTCTCAGTGCAAAAGTTACCTGACGAGGTGCGTGCGAACGTGCGCGTATGGGCCTCGCTCAACTTGTCACCGAATGTGCAAAATGAGATTGAATCTTCCGCTAGAACCTGGGAACATTCATCGCCTTATTTGTTGTCTTTTCTGCATTTGGTCAGTAGTGGAGCGAGGCCCTATATGTGTCGCGTGAGTGTGTATGTGGCGGGCGGCCAAGAGCGGAGCGAGTCTTTCGGGACATCCGTTAAAATTGGAACGACACATGTTCGGGGGAAGACGGTAGTAAGTTCTCTCCCCCTGGATTCGGGATCCACTAGAAATCTAGTTGAGGCTGATTGACTTACCGTGAGGGCACGGGTGCGCAGCCCGTAGTTCGTTTGTTTATGTGGTTCGGGAAGGGTAAGGTAGTGATTATGCTACATGTATGTTTTGTCATGTTCGCTGTATATAACTCGAAGAGTGCGTGTGCGGTCCCGGTTGGTGCTTCATTGACGATGTTCATGGGACGCTGGACCCAGTTTCCAATAGGTGGCGTTCCCCATCAATAGACAGGAGAATGTATGTGCATGTGTGTGTGTGTGTGTGTGTGTGTGTGTGTGTGTGTGTGTGTGTGTGTGTGTGTGTGTGTGTGAGAGAGAGAGAGAGAGAGAGA